AGTCAGGCACCAGGCATTGCTGACCCCACCACCCACTTCATTAGGATCAGAGAGGTTAATCATGTGCCCCAGGTCACCCAGCCTGGAAGGGGTGGGGCTGGGACTGGAACCCAGGACTGTGGGTTCCCTGTGCTGTCCTCACACTGCCTCCCAGGGGGACACCAGCTTCATACTCTGGGCTCCTCCTCTGCAGGGTCCTGTCCATGTCTCAACTGAAGTTGAGGGTCCTTCCTCATTACTCGCCCCCAGCACAGCAGGGACAGGAGGGGCAGGGTGTGGGGTGGACTCTGAGTCTCTCCTGGATCCCTCTCCACCCACAGGTCTCTGACAGCCCCATGGGAAGGTCGGGCTGGGCTGCGGCTCTGCCTTCCTGAGCTCTGTGAGGCCCGTATGTCACCTCATCTCCCAGCAGCCTGTGAGCAGGATGGGACCAGGGATGAGCAGACAGGAAGCCGACACTCAGAGGAAAGAAGGGACCGCCCAGCCCCACAGCAGGAGCAGCAGAGCCAGGAACTGAACCAGGGCTGATCCACCCTGTTCCCTCCTCTGAGCTGAGCCTGAGCTGAGGGGTAGGACTGGGGGCCCGGACCCTTGTCCTGCCTGTCCCTCCCTGTACAGAGTCACCATCACTGAGACAGAGGGGACAGGCCCCATAACATCACGTCCTGGGGGCTTCCCTGTGAGTCCCCTCTCCCAGTAGGTCAGGGCCAGAACTGACAGGAAATCTAAGCTCTAGTCAAGGATTCTCTCCTTTTACACTTGGAGACACTGAGGCCCAGGCAGGGGAAGGGCAAGTCCAAGTCAGCGAATTCAGAGGCACCTGAACCCCCGCATGGCTCAGCCCCTGTCCCTCATGGAGGCACCGACCACCTCCCCACAGAGCCCCTCACTTACCCCTCTGTGGGCCTGACTCCATTGGGGGGAGCTGCTGATCCTCAGAGCCTCCTGGGGATCAGAATGTTGGGTGAGGGGTGGGGACTGCCTTCTCCCCACTTGAGCCCAGCTCCTCCACCCCAAGCTGGGCCCCCACATCTCCCTCTGCAGTGGCCATCCCACCTGTCACCTGCCAGCCTCAGAGCCTAGGAGCCTGGGTTTTCCCAGCATGTCTCCCGATTCCCAGCCCCCTGGGACACAAGCCTGTCCTTAAGTGTCTGGGGAGGATTAGATCCTCTGAGAGTCTCAGAACTGCCCTGGGCTGGTCTGTCTCTCTCTGAGCAAAGGGGACCCAGTGGTTCATCAGCTGTGGACATGGGCCCTGTGCGTGGGGGCTGGGGCCCAGGGGTCCTGGGAAGGAGGACAAAACAGGTGAGAAGCTGAGGCTGAACCTGGAGTCCCCACCTCACTCAGGTCCTCCTGCATCTTCCCTGTGGCTCCTAAGACCCTCCCACTGCTCACCTAGTATGTTCTGGACCCAGGTAAGGGGGAGGGCTGAGAAGGGGGAGGAGGGTCTCTGAGGGGCAGATCTCCTCTGGGTGACCATCCCTAGAGTCCCTCCCTCCCTTTCAGCCCATGATTGTTCTGGGGACAGGACCCTGAGCTCACAGCTCAGCAGACAGGGTCAGGGGCCCTCACCTGAGACCAGGAGCTCCAGGGGCTCACTGGGGAGTGACAGCAGGAAGGGGGAGGAGCTGTGTGAGCTGTAGCACCTGTAGGTGCCCCCGTGGGCTGAGGTCACAGGACTCATGGAGAACTCTGCCTGGTACTGCCGACCTCGATGCCTTGATGTAAGACGCAGGGGGGGATCGGCTGCCTCCTCCTTGGACAGAAGGAACGTGTCCCTCGGGCTCTGTGACTGACACCTCAGGGTCACGTTCTCTCCTGAGGCCACCCTGGGGCCTGGCAGCACCGAGAGGGAGGGTCTGTCAGGCAGCCATCCTAGAGAGAGGGAGGAGGGTGAGGGCTTCCCTCCCACCTTGTTCTGCCCTGAGAGTCACCAGGCCTCTCTCTGAGGACCCTCCTCTCTGTCTGACTCTGTTTCTCTGAGTCTCCCCCTCTCCCCTCCCGCCCCCTGTCTCTCTCTATCTCTCTCCCTCCCTGGGGCCTGCACTTTCATTCTGGCCTCACCACTTGAGACCCCAAGCAGGGCCTGTGCAGAGTCTGGGTCCCTGACTGAACCCACTGGCTCCTCACCTGCCACCAGGATGTCCAGGGGGTCACTGGGGGCAGACCACTCAGAGGAGAGGTTGTATCCACCGTAGCATCTGTACCGGCCCCCGTGGGATCTGCTCACAGTGTCCAGGGGGAAGTGGGCCTGAGAGAGCCCAGCCTGGGGCTGCAGGACAAGGCTCTGGGGGAGGTCCCGTCCCCGCTCCTTGTGCAGAGCGAATCTGTCATAGCCAACATCAGAGCGACACTGGAGGGTCAGGCTCTGTCCAGAGGCCACGATGGGGCCCTGCTGGCTCAGGAGGGAGGGCTTCCCAGACTCACCTGGGGAGACCAGACAAGAGTTACAGGGGCGACTCTTCCCATAACCCCTTCTCCTGGCCCCCTGGTCTCACTGTCTCGCTGTGTCTCTGACCCAGAAGCCTCTGTGCTCCCCTCACCCAACTTTTTCACCTGGGGCTCCCCTCACAGCAAAGATGCCAAAAACTTGGCTGGTAGCTCTGTTCATGGATGGAGCAATAATGGGACTCACCTGACACCAGGAGCTCCAGGGGGTCACTGGCTGGTGACCACACCTGGGGGCTGTACCTGTAGCAGCCATAGCATCTGAACCTCCACCTGTGGCTGGGGGTCACAGGGCCCACAGGGAACAGGGCCTGGAACCGCCCACTGGGCTGTGAGTCCAGGGTCCAGGAGAGCCTGTGATCTCCTTCCTTAGTCAGAATGAACCTGTCAAATCCCTGCCATCCGCCACACTGGAGGGTCACGTTCTCTCCATAGGTCACGACAGGGCTGGGCAGGGCTGAGAGGCTGGGTTTGCTGTAGACTCCTAGGAGAGGAGGAGGCAGCGTGTTAAATGGGCTCACACCTCCCTCATGTCCCCTCATGCTTCTTTCTCCTTCCCTCAGCAGGAGGAGACTCATCAATTTTTCCAATTGTCCTCTCACCTGTCATCACCAGCTCCAGGGGGTCACTGCGCTCTGACCAGCCAGTGGGGCTGGTATAGTAACAGTGATATCTCCCTGCCTGTAGCTCTGTCATGTGTGTGGTGATGAACTTGGCCTTGTCCCCAGTCTCCAGTGGCTTCTGTCTGTCCCAGGGCACTGGGCTTCCCTCTTTATACAGAAGGTACTCCTGGGCCTCCAGGGTCCCCCGACACCAAATGGTCACAGGGTTCCTCCAGGGGATCACATTGCCTGGCTCAACCCAGATGGTGGGTTTGGGGAGGGGCCCTGGAAGGAAACCAGTATCAGGGTAGCAAGATATTCCCACCCCCAGTTCCCAGCTCTCATCCCCATGTCCCTCCCAGACATCTCCCTTCTGTCAGCTCAGAAGTGGTGTTTTTCTTCAGCTTCCCATGGGGTGGTCCTTGTCCCCAGTGAGGATAGAGACCTGGGACACCTGGGGACAGACTCACCTGCCTGCACGGGGGTCCTGAGGCCCACACTCAGCCCTGGAAGAGAGTCCCTGTGAGAGATTTGCCCTGAACCCTGAGCAGCTCCCTCCTCCCCATGAGCCTCCTGAGTCCTGGGTCCTGACAGACCAGGGTCCCCTCCCTCCTCCCATCTCACCGAGGCAGAGCAGGACCCTTAGGGTGGGAGTCATGGTGTCTTCTCCCGGAGGCCTCAGCTGAGCAGATGGTGGAGGCCACAGTACCAGCAGGATGGACAGACAGACACACAGGTGGTGGTCACTTGGAGGCTGGTCCTTCCTGTCACTGGCTGTCACATCACCAGCCTATAGGAGAGGACACAGCCTCTCTAGCAGCCTGGCTCTCATTTCCATGGTGAAGCAGGAAATAGACCCAGAGCCTCCTGAGATGCCCCTTGCAGATGAGGTGACCCAGGGCAAGTCCTTCCCTGTCAGAGCCTCCCCCACCGGATCCCTTTCCTCCTCAGCCCGTCCACCAGCACCTCCATGTGGTCCTCACCATGGACAGTGTCACCCGGGTTCTGGAGATGCTTCAGGAGATGTAGGTCCCTGAAGAGCTCAGATCAGCAAGGACACGCTCACCCTCTCACTGTGCAGCTCAGGGCAATGTCCCTGTGACAATGAGCACAGAGGGAGATGCAGGGAAATAAGGGAAGGAAACAGGTCCCTCCTGTGGCCCCAGAATCTGGGTTTGCTTTCTATCACATGTTTCGTCATGAACTTCTCTTATTCTCAGCCACAGCCTCCAGCCCCACCTTCCTGGGAACACGCCTCAGGGTCATTTTCCCCCTCAGGGCCCCTCGTTCCTGGGGCAGAGCTGTCCCCCTGGTCCAGGGCTTGTCCTAGACACTAAGAAGCTGTCATTTGGTCTAGAGCTTTGATTTGTTGAGAAAAACCCCTTTTTAAAAAATACTTGTGTCCCACCTGCTTCCTGTGTGAACTGAGCAGTAATGTCTTAATCAGGTGATTTCTTCCATTTTTTGTTTTATATGAGAACACCCAGTGTAATAGAGAGAAAGAAAGAAAGAAAGAAAGAAAGAAAGAAAGAAAGAAAGAAAGAAAGAAAGAAAGAAAGAAAGAAAGAAAGAAAGAAAGAATTAGTGCCCTGTTACTGCTATAACAAATACCCATATGCTTAATGGGTTAAAGCAACACAGATTTATCATCTTTCCATTCAGGAATCAAAATGAGATTCCTCGTCTCTCAAGCTTCATAGGGTGCCCATAGCTCGTGCCCATTCATCCTCAGGGCCAGCAGTTACATCACTGTCCACTGCTCTCCTCGTCGCATCTCTTCAGCTCTGTCCTCCTGCCTCCCTCATTCAATCCCCAGGACTTTCTGATGACATGGAGCCAACCTGGGTCACCCAGGGCCATCTCCCATCTCAACATCCTTAACTCCATCACACCTGCAAAGTCCCTTGTGCCATGGGAGGTGACATAGGCAGGGGTGCTGAGGAGTAGGAGGTGCATATCTTTAGAAGGTCCTTGCTCTGCCTGCCTCGTGCCTTTGGGGACTTCTTGAGCCACATAAACCACTTCTGTCTGGGGTTGGGGTGCTATTGATCATGCTCCTTTCAAGGTGTGCTCAGGTATCACGTCCCATTCCATGATGGGCATCTCATGCCTCATGGTGACTTGGCTAAGACGACCTCTGGTAGAGCCCAGTAACAACGCCAACATTGTTTCACAGAGGAGGATAGTCCTCCACAGAAATGCATAGTGTGACTCCAAAATAGTAAATGTCTGTGCTTTATTATTGATTGATTGATTTTTTTTAATCCTCGCTTAAGGATATTTTTCCATTGGCTTTTTTTAAGGGAGAGTGTAAGAGAGAGGGAAAGACAGAGAGAAA